TTTAATGGATTCTCCGGTCTCAGTTATTCAACCCCCTGAAAAGAATCTCTCACAACAGCACAAATATGCAAAATATGCAAATATGCAAAAACAGGTGTTGTCTGGACATAGCCCTGTGCCTTTGTATAAATACAAGCTTCTTGTCAAACTGTTGAAGCAAAATACTTCAAACATCAACCACGGCAGCTGTAGTCATTCCACTGCTTAGAAGCCTGCTCCTCAGGCCATCCATTTTCTGACTGCATTTTGATCCATTTTTGCATTTCAGTTTTGGTTGCCAATGGGATAACCCCTGTACAAAGACACAGGGGAAACATGGACCTGCTGACATTTCCAGACATCTCAGTAGCTTTCAATTTGATAATCAGTGATTCATTCTAGATCGGCTGTATGGCCAAGAAATTAGGGTCATGGGGGTATCACTCCTGCAAGGATGGGTAGTTCCAGATAATGATGCTAGGGAAATTCTACACAGCTATTTGGCATTTGTACTTTGGCCTATCACAGTGTTCTATTTTATTACTTATGTTTCTCAACCTCTGCATGAAGTCTCCAAGTGAGGTCATTGGTTTTGGAGTAAGGAGTTTTCAATCTGTGAACAACATATAATTTTATTACAGCTTTTCTTTCACTAAGGCTCTCAAAGACAAAACCTTTTTATTTCTGCACCACTTTTAAACTGTTCCTGCTTTAAAATCTCTTTTATCTGGGCTAGGTATTCATTCATTCATTTTTCTCATTGATAGGCCACCTTTCTCCAGATACAGAGACTCAAGGTGGTTCACAGTGTTTAAAAAAAAAGTAGAAATAAAAATACAATAAATGATACATTTTAAAAAAATAAATCGTAATATTAATACATTGAATGATTAAAAACATTGAAATCTTTAAAAATTCAACTAAAAATAGCACTCAGGGACTCAGTTATGTAACTAAGGCATGTGTCACTGTAGTCAAATCAGACATCTCAAGGAGCATTTTAAAAAGACATATATATCAGTTATTTTTTAAATACATTATGCCATATTTCTATGTGCTTAGGCCACTTTACACCAAACAGAAAATCAAATTTATATACATGAAACTAGAGTTTTAGAGTTGCTACCATCAGGTAATGTTTAAATGGAAGAAAATGCTCAAAGATAAAGGTCCCAGCAAAAATAACTGTAATCTATGAAAGTTCACATTGAAATAAATCTGTGAACCTGCTGTCAGCCCTGCCAGCCCTGACAGATGCTGTGGTGGCTCCTTCCTCCATCCCTGACTCCATAGACACTGAAGAGGTTACAACAACACTTCATTGTAATGGGGAGAGGAAAACAAATATGGTACAAATAGTGTCCTTCAGAATAGTTTCCTTCATTTCCCATAGGTATCTTACAGAGTCCAAGAGTCGCCCACTTGTATCACCAGTTTGGTTTCTGTCACTTCTCTTTTCAACAGCCTGGGCTGTGGGACCCACCCTCTTGTCACCTGCAACATGAAGAGCTTGTATGCCCACACCAAAGGCAACAATGGCTGGTGGACTCTCCCTCAGCAGGGTTTTGTCTCCCTTTCCTTGTCTGCTTTCTCTAGCATTGTGGCTGAGCTGCAGTCGATTCATTGGTCTGGGCTTCTCACTGCCTAATGTGTCCACTCCTGGCATTCCCTTTTCCTCCAGTAACTGGGCTTCAGAAGAGGCTTGATGGTTTAAGTGTTCCCAGGGCAGGCACTCTTAACTGGACAATAACTCTGGCCCAGAGGTCTTCCTTGTACACATACAGCCAGTCACCTGGTGGTTCTAGCTTTTTGAGGTTGGGATGTCTACTTCTAACTGATAGCTTTCCAGAAAGTCTTCTGGAGTGTCTCCCCAATCATCCTCCTCCTCTCCAATCTCCTCCACTCTTACATCCACAGAGAGCTCTCTTGTCTGCTTCACTTGCTCTCGGTCTCCCTCATTCCTAGGATTTGCCTTTCACATCTGCAGAAACTTCTATACATATTCTAAAAAAGCACTGGGCAAAGTGCGGCCTGAGGGCCACATACAGCCCGCGAGCCACTCCTGTCTAGCCCGCGGACAGTTTTGAACCTCAAAACCATTTATAGCTTTTTGTCTAAAGTTGATCAGTTGCTTATCTTTAACATACCACAAAAAACCTCTTTAGTATTTGTGAAGATAACAAGTTTAAAATAAAAGCAATCATAACATCACTGTTTCATTTTATTTTTAAGTAAAGTTGGTTCGGCCTCCGAACACAGTTCAGATTTTTTATGCGCCCCCCCTATAGAAATTAATTGTCCACCCCTGCCCTACTTCATAGGGGCCAGTTGCTCCTTCCTGAGCTGGGAAGTGTTCCTCTTCATCTGGTTTCTTTGCTGGCATTGCCCCCCCTCCAGGGGGAGATTCTGCAAGGGCTGTATACTCCCAGGCCTCACGTCCTCTATCCCTGGGTTTCTAAGTCATTCATTCTTTAGAGTGCATTGCCCCAGTTCACTGGGGAGCTGGTGGTCACAAATTCCCCTGGATCAGGGGGAAAAGGATACAAGCCCACCCACCAAGCCCTTGGTACTGGTGTCTTCCTCCTCTCATCTCTATAATGCCCTAATATTTTTTGTTTCTGTTCATAATTTTTGTTTCTGCTTAAATGGAAAATCTCTCTCAGGTTTTTTTTCATGTCACTGAAACCAAGCCAGTCAGTGACTGAAATCAGCTAGCATCTGACAGCAGTTTGGTGGTTTATATAAAATTATATTGTGGTTTCAGTTAAGTTCCAAGCGGGCAAATGGCTTGAAGTCCAAAACCACTTGTACAATTTCAGTTGACTGTTCTTCAAGAAATAGCTCTACGAATAACTTGAAAGAGGATCCAGTTTACAAAGCCACCCTAAACAATGGATTTCTGCAAGGCCGTAACAGATAGTGAATGTGGTAAACTACTGTTTGAACAGGCCACCCTGGCAGGGATAATGGCCTGGAAGAACTCTAGTCCAGAAAATGTAACTATCCCAAATTCTACACATTCTGCTATAATAAAGAAGCCCACATTTTTTGCTATCAGTGGAAACAATATTGACAATGTATTTTATATAAATAGAAGACTGGAGAATGGGTGCAACAGAAAAATAATAAGAATAAAAAAATATGAGTTTTTGTATACTAAAGAATACTTAAGTGATGTCTATAAATATTTTTAAAGTTGTTTATTTGTAAACACCTGATAGAAAAGGGATGGCACATTTCAAGTTTGTTGGATTGGTTTTCTTGGTGTGCCCGTCCCCACTACAATCCCAACATTTACCAGCTAAACCTAGCTATAAAACATATCTTAATAATTAAAAGGCCAGGGTGCCTCTGAACATATTCTAAATCCAGGGCTTTGTGTTCAGTAACGGAAGTGAATTGGGAATACAACCCAGCCTTTTTCTCCGAAAAAGGCTCATCTGAACAGCCTCCTTTGGGAGGGCAAGGTCGTTTTGTTGTTCCCATTGTGATTCAACCAGGAAAAACAGACACCCTTGACCATCTACTCCAAAGTGGCCTGAGATCTATGATCCTGATCTTTCAGGTTACTGTATTTTCTCTCTTTTTTTGCCAGCAGAAGCTCTATAGCAGAACAGTACAATGTAGTGGCAAGTTTGTCAACAGATCGACTCTTTTAGAGAGAGAAGCTGAGGGGGAGAACAAGTGCAAAACAATTAAACCGTGTCACTCTACCAAACCATACAGTCAGGCCTAAATGACACGCTCAAAAAAACAACAAAACCATGGGTTGCATCCCCAACTTCTGTCATAGCATATGATACAAAGCCCTTTGGCAGTTCATAATGATACTCAATCTCGTTCTTTTTTGCTCCATTTCTTAGAGATACACAATAGTTTTCAAGTGGTACAGGACTGTCCCTTTTTCTTGCCAACTGTCTGTCCACCTGTTCCCCACTTCCTCTGTTGGCCATTCCCTCTTGCTCTTCTCTCAACTACTGTCAAGGCTTTGATTTCCAGCCCCCCCCCTCCATTGTGCCTCTGTGTGCACATATGTAGGACTGATTTCTTTTTAACCCATGTTTAAAATTGCACAAAGATACACATAAACACTTTTCAAAATAAAAATAAAATAAAATGGAGGGGGACTGGGAACAAGGAATGGCGTTTCCATGTCTGATGTCTTGTCCAGTCCCCAACATGTCAACAGCAACAATGTGCACACCCACCTATACCACAGTATGCTGAATGAAAACATGGAAAAAAGCACTATGTGTTACAAGTGGGGTTGCACCTGTTCACAGCTAAACCGCAGCAAACACACTTTCTCATTTACAGTGGTGCCTCGCTAGACAGTTACCCCGCATGACAGTTTTTTCGCTAGACATTGACTTTTTGCAATTGCTATAGCAATTAGCAAAACAGTGATTCCTATGGGGGAATTTTGCTGAACAATGTTTGGTCCCTGCTTCGCAAACTGATTTTCGCTAGACGACGATTATGACAGTTTCCTCCGCGCTCACAAAACAGGTGTTTTCGGGACCTAAGCTTCGCAAGACAGCGATGTAAACAGCTGATCGGCGGTTCGCAAAGCGGCTTTCCTATGGCCGATCTTCGCTAGACAACAACGATTCTTCCCCATTGGAACGTATTAAACAGGTTTCAATGCATTCCAATGGGAAAATGCTTTTCGTTAGACAATTATTTCGCTAAACAGCGATTTCAGTGGAACGGAGTATCATTGTCTAGCGAGGCACCACTGTATTACAATGGTGTTGCTCCAGCCTCCAGCTACTCAACTGGTTATTTTCTGATAATTACTATAACACTGATTAACCACTACGTATATATAAAAACACTTGGTTTTATCCTAATTTTCCAGGATTAGCTTTTTGGGAATAGGTTATTAAACATTTCTGCCCTTACTCCCCACTATTCTTTCAGCCCCCTGCTGGGTTTAAGTGGCAGTTTTTTTAACATGGACCTTTTTTAATTTGAAACCATCTACACATAGAATAATTTTAAATTTCAGAGGGACTTACCTTTAAGTATTCCCACAGAGGAAACTGTACAAGTGAGAAAGGAATCTGGAAAGAGAGGGAGTGTGGGGGAAAAAAAACACTTGTCACATCAGTAGAATTATGATGGCATGTTCCTTGGCTAACTAAATTAGGAAAAGTTATTGTTCATTCAGTGGATTTTACCTATGAAAAGTATAAACCTTGAAGGATTAAATTATGCACACAGCTGCTAGGTGGCTGTTTTTGCTGCAGAACATTTTATGTTGTTTAGCACATACCCTGCTGAGAGTTTAATGTGTTGTAACCAGGGTGGGCGCAAAGAGTACAAACTGGCACCAGCAAGTTTAGTGAGCTTTAATGTTTGCCTGAAAGTCTGGAAAAGTAATAGAGAGGATGGTTTAGAAGCTATGCACAGAAACCCAGCCTGCCAAAAAACTGCCAGCTCAGGTTTACAGCTTAGCTGTCAGAAAGGTTTGCATTTAATTTAGATTTAGGCCCTTTATAAGAAAAATTATACAATATCTGGTTCTTAGGTCAGTACTGACCACTAAATGTAGAGTCATTAACTTCTTGAGAACCGAAGCTGTCAATGCTAGAAAATTTATTTCTGACGATCAGCCATCCACCATGCTTCCTATCAGATACCCTGCCCTTTGTCATTCTTTATCTTTAAAGGCATAAGATTAAGGCTTTCCATCCATACTCTCCATGATTCAGAGGTTTACCACCGGTGCTGGCACCAGATACCTTGTCCCAATGATCACTCAGTCCACCATCTGATGATTTTTCTGCAGCTTCACGATGGTAGGCTTTGTGAGTAGACACGGCACATGGTCTGCTGCTTGTGATCCCTGTCATCTTCACAAGTGTTTAAATGAATTTATTCATATGATAGTTTACTCCATTGTGGAGTTCCAGTCCCTCTGATTCTGCCAGAAAGTACAAATTTGCTGACTAAAGATGCCTGGGGACTGCTGGCTATCTTCCGGAATCTCTCTTCTCAAGCAGACAAAATGTAGATCAAAAGAAGACACCATTTTGGAAGGTGGGAAGCCCATGAAACGAATTCCTAAAGTTTATTTCATTGTTAACAACTCAATCATCAGGACAGAGAATTTTAGTCCACCAGCATCATGTTTTGTTGAAAGATCTCTGTGGCACTGTCACCTCAGTATTGGGTTAAATCCAACTTGTTAGTTCCAAATCAATTAGACCCGCTGAATTGATGAGAACTTGGTTTACATCAACCCTTATGTAGTAACTGATTTGGGGGGGGGTGTTTCCTAACCTGCAACCAAATGTAAGTTATAATCCCCAAGTTTCAACCATTCATCATATAAAGGTTGTTTTTAACAAGAAAAAGAGAGAGACCCAAAAAATATACCAATATATCTACTGCTTTCTGCACAGCAACATCCCATGCCATTTTTGAGCAAACCGTGATGTATTTATTTTAAATTTTCAGCACTCATCAAATTTGCTGATGACACAAAGCTGGGGAGAACTGCTAACACTTTGGAAAATACACTCAACATTCAGAAGGATCTAGACAGACTTGGACATTGGGCCCTGTCCAATAAGATGCAGTTCAGTGGCAGGAAAAGTAAGGTCCTGCACTTAGGCAAGAGAAACCAGGTGCATTGGTGGCAGGTAGGTGGTACCTGGCTTGACAGTAGTACCTGTGAGGGGGATTTAGGTGTCCTGGTGGACCACCGCCTAAGGAGGAGTCAGCAGTGTGCTGCAGTTGCCAAGAAAGCCAACAGAGTCCTAGGCTGCATCAACAGGGGGCTAGCATCAAGATCACAGGAAGTGCCAGCACCACTCTATACTGTGCTAATGAGGCCACACTTGGGAGTGCTGTGTCCAGTTCTGGTCACCACAATACAAAAAAGATGCTGAGGCCCTGGAAGAGGTACAGAGAAGAGCAATAAGAATGATAAGGGGACTGGAGGCTACATCCCATGAAGAATGACTAAAAGAACTAGGTATGTTGAGCTGAACAAAGAGAAGACTGAGGGGAGACAGGATAGTGGTCTTCCGATATCTGAAGGGTTGCCACAGGGAAGAGGACATTGATTTATTCTCCATTGCTTCTGAGAGCAGGACAAGAACCAATGAGTGGAAACTCATCAGAGGGAGATCCAACCTGGAAATAAGGAGGAATTTCCTGACGGTAAGAACCATTAAGCCGTGGAACAGCTTGCCTCCCAATGTTATGGGTGCCCCATTGCTGGAGGTTTTCAAGAAAAGATTGGACAACCATCTGTCCGGGATGGTATGAAGTCTCCTGCCTTGGGCAGGGGGTTGGATTAGAAGACCTCTAAGGTCCCTTCCAACCCTACAACGATTCTATGATTCTATGAACCTGCCTTTCTCCTTTAAAAGGACCCAAGGTGGTTTACAACAATTAAAAGACAGTATCTAAGTTAGTAACAATGAGTATACAATACTAAAAGGAGCAATGAACACAATAGCAAGAAACATAAGCAACTCCAAAACACATTCAAAGCAATAAGGTGTAACCATCCCTTTAAAAATACAAAATACCCCACTTAGCAGCGATGTACTTAGGGAAAGCTTGCCTGGTCTTCGCCTGCTTGTGGAAGAACAGTAAAAATGTAAAGAAGAAAAGAAATGTTTTCCAGTTGTCAGCAGACTGGCCTAATTTAGAGAAACTAATTTTTTTCTATGGGATCAGGAAGCAGAATAGAAGTGTTTCAATTAACCTTACACTTCAGCATATTGGAATTCTCACTGGGTCAGAAAATACCCCAGAACTCACTCAATCCATTTTTAAAAATCTGAATATATGAAAGTTGGTCATTCCAGCTATTTCTTTAGACTAAAATGTACAAACAAATGTGTATTTGTGCTTATGTCTCTCTGAAATCAGTAAGATCAGCATGCCTAACTGTATGCTGGATTGTAGCCATTGTTATTTTAACATATCCATTATTTTATCTTGTTATTTTATCGTGTCCATAAAGTGGTTTTCCAAAAACTGTGTTCTATAAAGGCGCTATAAATGTTAAATGTAAAACATTATTATACCATGACTGTCAACACGACAGGCTTCAACTCGTTCAAGTTTACATCATAGGCCGTAGCTATCTTATTAAATCTATACAGGCATATAATAAGGAAGAGTGAAGCTGAGAGCCAGCCATTCATTGTGACATTTAATTTATTGCGACACTGAAATACACTGAAAAATCCTGGCACAAATTACTTACCTTTTTTTATTGTGAAGATGACTAATTTAATACATACATTTTTAACAAAACAACACAGAAACAGATGTTAACTCCTTAACCTTAATCTAATATATTCATTCTAAAATCCCCACTTGCATCTGGCTATATGTCCATTCTACCAGCTGTCTACTCTGAAGTTCAATGTCCTAGAATGGAAACCATGCATAATACAATGCAGGTCTGTTATATAATATTAACACAACCTTCTTTTCCATAGTTACGACTTTCTCCCTTGACTGCCACAGGTGAGGAAAATGATCCTTCTGCAATGAACGATAGCAGTGTGGTGATATACTGTAGTTATGCGGAGTTTTCTCAGGTGCTGTTCAAAGGATGAGCATGATATTGCCTTCCCTATTGATTCCTAATTTTTATTTATTTATTAAAATTGCAACCATCATAGTTTTCAAGATACAAATCTTTCTAATGTGCTTTACTCGTAAAATTAATTAATTGATTGACATTAATGAAACTGCAACAGAAACATTACAGTGTAAGCTACCAAATTATTTCCCTAAATCATAACAGTCTGTTCCTCTATACAGTAAAACCTTGGGTCCTCCGGATGTTCTTGGACTACAGCTCACAGAAATCTTAGCCAGCAGTTAGTGGTGAAGGCTTTGGGAGTTTTAGTCCAGGAACATGTGAGGACCCAAGATTGGGAACCACTGCTCTACAGGGGTGAGAGAGGACATCTAGTCGAAACAGCCACCTTATCTGGTATTTTTGCCTTCTTCCATCAGTTTCTCATAGCTTACCACAGGATATATGGTGACTAATATTCTCCCTCTCTGATATATCTCTAGCACTCCCTTGCACAGCTCAATACCTTGAATCCAAGCCTCTGAGGAGAAAAGGCTTTCTTTCTCCTCTCACCTTGCTTGGCGCAAGAACATCAGTGGCTTCATCCCTGCTCTTCCTTCCTCTACTGCAACATACTTCATATCAAACAATGTCATCTTTTTTGGTAGATTTTGTTTCACACAGTTCAATTTCTGCTTTAGAAATGGTGAAAGAACACTCATGATAGAATTTCTTAGCTTCTTTTTTTAAAAAAAAGTACAGTAGTTTTACCCCCACTTTTCAGCCTAAAAAATAAAGAGGCTTGCATGAGTTTGTATTTAACTTATAAACTGCCCAGTTGTGTGATATGCACTCTCTGGGTGGTGAACAACTAACACGTATAAACTATAGGTAATAAAATACTAATTGTAAACATTGACAAACAATGAATGATAAATAAAACCACATAACTGACCATATCTGACAGAAGTAAACCAATATAAACCACAGTTCGATATCAAATAGTACACATTAGTGAAAGGCAGCTTATGTTTATAAATCTGCAGATAGGAACAGTTCTTACAGTTCCTGTATGCAGATTTATAAAGATATATAGCAAAAGGAGATGAGAAAGGAAATGGAAGACAAGTGAAATCAAGCAGAAATCTGCCAAGTACCAAGTAGTAAGGAACAGAACTTAACATCTCTCTATTCTTCTTGCTTAAAACGGAGTCCATCACTAAGTACTAACTTTTCTGGACTGCATATATTTCATGACGAACCCAAGTGCAAATCAGTAAATAATTTTTCAGAACAACATTCCATTTCAAATTCTTCTGAATCAGAGGGAAAAAAACAGGTGGCATTATTTGTTTTTCATGGTTCTTTTTTATCCTGTGTTGAGTGAAAGTAGGTAGGCACTGAAAGGCATGTCTACAAAGGTCGGGCAAAAATAGCTTTACACAGGGAAATGAAAGCCCAGTGCAAAAAAATAATAATAATCCCACCCTCTAATGATTTGTAGTCTTT